AAGTCTGAAATTAAGTGGAACCTTCTCCTACAGAGGCTCCCATCTATTAGATGTTAAACTTAGCTGAGAGTTTCTTCACAAGCTTTTACCTTCATAAACTTATCTTCCTAAGACGCTATTTCTTCAGGTGCAGTAAACACCCTCAAGTAGCTTGTTTTCCACCCCATGGCACAGAATTGTGAAATTAATAGGTGAGCTGAGACATTAGTTATCTCCCAGGTCTTGATCCAAGCCAGCAGAAAGAGTGGCAGATAAACCAGTGCTCAGCATGGGGCAATGGGCAGGGCTGCAGCAGATGGAGACCCTGTGGCCAAGCGCTCCCCAGAGTTGCTGGGATCAGCAGGACCTGCAGTTTCAGGCTTACACAACATATGTGGCTGCAGGTGTGCTGTTCCTCATTGTGAATAATTTGCAGCTTTCACGTAATTTCCCTCAGCTGAACACATCCAAATAGTTCCAAAAATCCCCCACCTCAAGGAAGATGTATGTTCTGTGTGTGCCTGCATCATCAGAGGCGTGCACAGCAGCCAAAAATGTCTGGCAGTGAGTGCCAGGTTGCAATGATTGTGAAAGAGTCCCTGGGAGCACAGCCGTGAGAGAGGGTCCAAGGAAAACAAGATGCAGCACTGTGCCTCTTCATGTTCCCTGGAGGGCTTGGGCCTCCTATTTCAAGCCAGGTATCTGAGCAAATACTGCTCTAGGGCTCTGGTCTTGAGGCCCTGAACTAAATTCCCTGGCAGTGGGTCCAAAAGATGGATTTTTTTAAGAGAAGGGAGGACAAGTCTTATGCTGAGCTTGTGGCTTGATGTCTGGTGGCAGTGCTACAAAAGCCAGCCTTAAACCAGCAGGCTCACAGCCCTCCCGTTCCTAATCCTGTGGAATCCTGTCCACATCCGAGCTGTATCAATTCCTCTGCCAAAAGACCAAGCAGTAGTTGTGCCAGCCCAAAGGAAGGAGTAGCAGAGACAATCCCAGGACTAGGAGCCAGGCAGCTGCTCAAGTTGACTCTAGTGAAAAAAAAGAAAAAGGAAAAAAAGAAAAACCAGAGGCTTACTGAGGTATAAGGAGAGGCTTACTAAGGTATCCTTTTAACTTCACTTAAGGAATGAAAGTAATGTGGATGTGGACTCATAGAACTTTAAAATCATAGAACTATAGAATGTTTTGGGTTGGAAAAGACCTCAAAGATCATCTAGTTTGAACCCCGCTGCCATGGGCAGGGAGGCCATTCACTAGACCAGGTTACTCAGGGCCCCATCCAACATGACTTAGAACACTTCCAAGGATGGGGCATCCACAACTTCTCTGAGCAACCTGTTCCAGTGCCTCACCACCCTCTGAGTAAAGAATTTTTTCCCAACAGCTAATCTAAACCTATTCTTTTAGTGTAAATTCATTGCCCCTCATCCTGTCACTATCCGCCCATATAAAAAGTCCCTCTCCCACTTTTTTAAAAGCCCCCTTTAGGTACTAGAAGGCTGTTGTAAGGTCTCCCTTGAGCCTTCTCTTCTCCAGGCTGAACAACTCCGGCTGTCTCAGCCTGTCAAATATGTATTCATGTTTTTAGTTTTACCACTATTATGAAGCATCATCTTAGAGGTCATACAGTAGCCAATTAATATGGGTCCAACACTGGACCCCCCTCCTGCAAATGAATAACAGAAATGGTATAAAATAAAGGAGAGGTGATGCTGAATTTGAAGAACAGAGCAAAATCCAAGCACACTTTAATGGGCTTGTGGTCTGGTTTGGTTTGCTCTCTTGCAATGTCCCATTCCTCTTTTAGAGTACACTGCCTTGTCCTTCAAACTTTGTCTCATTTAATTTGTGGACGCCACAGCTACCACAAACTCATCATTTTGGAATCCACAACTTTGACGCCCATGAATAAATCATATGCCACAAGAGGTATAAAACTGAAGTAGCCGGTAGGATTGTCTTCTCACTGGCTTCTGAGTTAGCTGCTGGCTTCTAATTCAGTTAAAGCATCAAAGATTCTGACTTATGTGAGCTGTGAAGTCAGTAGTGACATCAGCAACACCAAACAATGAATTAAGGTGCTGCAAACAGAATGGAGGATGGTTCCAAAGTCTGCCTCTTGTTGGCACACATGGACTCAGAGGTCAAGACACTGTGTTACACTGTGACATGCAGGACACATTAAACCCCTCACCGTCCACCAGGAACCAGCCTGTGATCATACAAATATCTAAGAAACTTAAGGCTTAAGATAATTCTACTGGCATTACTCCACAGCGGGGGGGCACTTTTGCTGACCCTCTAGAAATCATTCTTAGTGGATTTGAACAAAGATGGATTTTCATTCCTGCAGATTCACAGTGCCACACTATAGCTATGGCACTATTTTCCATCTCCTTCCTCTCCCCACTCCAGAGAAACCAGGGAAGATTCAGACCTTTGCTAACAGAGGGTCATCCAAGAAAAGGTCTTTGCCTAGCAAATCCTGCTGGCTTGTGGCTGGTGACTGCCAGCAGGAGTTCTAAGGTGGCATAGTGGTGGTTTGCTAAGCGAGCATGAAGGTTCACTCATAGGAATGATAAACAACTGGCTGCCATATGAATGTCATTTTTGGGAGAGGCACCTGAAGAGGCTGGAAATAGGCACTAGAAATAGGCCTAGAAATAGGCACTCAAGGCAAGACAACGGCATCAAGTAGGTAACACTTAAACCTTTCTATCTGATTTGATTAGGTACTTCAAAGCAAAAGCAGAGGTCCTGCATCAAACAAAGGAGCCAGCCTGGTTTTGATCAGCAAGTCATTAGCTCTGTTGGTTAGATGCAGGTAACGGCACAGAAATGTAAATTGAGTTGTCGCCACAAAAGACTGCCAATCATAGAATCATAGAATCAACCAGGTTGGAAAGGACCTCCAAGATCATCAAGTCCAACCCTTGATCCAGTACCGCTGTGGTTGCTAGACCATGGCACTAAGTGCCACATCCAGTCTCATCTTAAAAACCTCCAGGGATGGAGAATCCACCACTTCCCTGGGCAGACGATTCCAATGCCTGATTACCCTCTCTGTAAAGAATTTCCTCCTAATATCCAACCTAAACCTTCTCTGGCAGAGCTTAAGACTATGCCCTCTTATCTTACTGATAGTTTCCTGGGAGCAAAACTTCAGCAAATGTGATCCATAGTCTTAAGCATTTTCCAGGCATGGAGCTCTGAGCAAGGAGGACCCAGAGAATACGAGGAAGAGGACAAAAGAAAAAATAGAGAAAGCCTTAGGACAAAAACAGGGAAACTGCTGGTTTACCATGGAGCCACTGATCTGTAATAGGTGGCCCTTTTTGGTTTTGTTTTGGGTTTCTGGTTTGCTTTGTTTCTTTTTGTGTGTGTGTGTGTTTGGTTTGTATTGGGCTTTTTTGTTTGTTTAGTGAAAGCCTGACAACCATATTAACTTTCTTTTGTTGAAACCCATTTGTACTAGTCTCATAACCATTCATATACAACAGAACAAAGTTCTACCCTGCACACCTCTTCTTCAGAGTCTTACGGAAGGAAAAGTTCATTGTCTCGTGAAGGAATTGGTCTTACCGTAGTTTATTGCGTGCAAGCTTCAAATCTTCTGGTTTTTTCCTTCCTTGCAAATCTATCCAGGCCCAAGCATAGCTACTATCAGTAGTGTAGTCGTGGAAAAAAGAAACATAAAGCAGAAAGCATGATCAACAGATCATTTATGTTGTCTACACAAGGCAGGACTTGAAACTTGCCAAGTTTGGTAAATCTTTGGGTACACGTTAATGAATAAGCCCTGCCAGAAGGTGATTTGCCTCTTGTGTCAGGTGGGCCTCAGGATGTATTCCTTTCTGTAAAATACATACAAGATCTTGTCACAAGCAGAAACCACAGTGGTCAGTTCTCAAAGCACATCTGGGAAGAAAGGAGGCAGAGATCAGCTGAGAAATTTGCACCAGTTTCATGGTGCTTGTGTCACAGAGAATCATGGGCCAACAGAGGTTGGAAAGGACCTCTGGAGCACACCAAGTCCAACCTCCCTTTCTCAAAGCACTGTCAGGGCTGTGTCCAGTTTGGAGTGGAATATCTCCATGGATGGAGACTGCACAGCCTGCCTGAGTGCCTCTTCCGATGTTTGGCCACCTTCATAATGAAAATGATTCTACCTATGTTTGAATGAAATTTCCTGTATTTCAACTTGTGCCCATTACCCCTTATCCTGTCAGTGGGTACCACTGAGAAGACCCTGGCTTCACCTGCTTTACCCTCCCCCATTAGATACTTAGATGCCTCTGAGCTTCTTCGCATGCAGACTGAACAGTTTCAGCTCTCTCAGACACTTCATGTATCAAAGATGTTCCAAGCCCTTAATCATCTTCGTAGCCCTTTGTTGGATCTGCTTCAGTATGTCCAAGTCTGCCTTGCACCAGTGAGCCTAGAACTGGACCATGGTAAGGAAGGCTAATCCCTGCAGCCCATGGAGGTCCACGGTGGAGCAGATATTCCACCTGCAGCCCATGGAGGAGCCCATACCGGAGTAGATGGATGTTCCCTGGTGGAAGCTGCAGCCTCTGGAGAGAGAAGCCCACACCGGAGCAGGTTTGCTGGCAGGACTTGTGACCATGTAGAGGACCCACACTGGAGCAGCCTGTTCCTAAAGGACTGCACCCCGTGGAAAGGACCCACGCTGGGGCAGTTTGTGCAGGACCGTCTTCCGTGGGAGGGACACGGTAAGAGGCAGGGGCACGGTAAGAGAGCGAGGAGGAATGAGCAGCGCAGAAGAGGCGCTATGGACTGGCCGCAGCCGCCTTTCCCCATTCTCTGGCAGTCCGAAGTGATGTCAGCTGAGCCTGGGAAAAAGAGCGGCATGGGTGGGTTTTTGCTTTATTTCTGACTTTCCTACCATGTTATTAACTGGCAGACAACTACGTAAAACCTCCCAAAACCCGACCAGTGCGAGCGGCTCCTCCCCGGGCCCTCGTCACGGCCGGCGGGCGGGACCTCCGGGGGAGGCGGTGCCGCGGCGGGGAGGGAGAGCGGGGAGGAGGGAGAGAGGGAGGGAGAGAGGGAGAGAGAGCGGCTCAAGGTCGGCGTGGTTCTGCCCGCGGCTCCGCTGTGCCCGCAAATGGAATACGACTGGCTGGGCTTCGGCTACGCGGCGCTGGTGGCGGCGGGCGGCGTCGTCGGCTACGCCAAGGCAGGTGGGTGCCGGGCCCGGGGCTGTCCGGCCGGGCCCGCGGCAGCCGGAGCTGCGGGCCGCTCAGCCGGGTCCCGGCCCGCTGCTGGCAGTGACCCCGCACACCCCCTAAGTCCTTGTTGCCACCGAAACGGTGCTTGCTGAGGCCTGCAAAGTATCTTTAAAGACAACCCCAACCCAGTGCAGTGTCCTCTGTTTAGGTGGTTTTCGTGGATTTACAAATGACGGGAACCCGCGGGTGCCTTTCTTTGGCGTGCAGAGTGACTTTGTATGTGTTCTTTCACTGACTGCTTTACATTTATTTTTATTCAAGGCAGCGTCCCTTCACTAGCTGCTGGTCTTCTGTTTGGTGGCTTAGCGGGACTAGGTGCTTACCAGCAGTCCAAAGATCCAAAGAATGTGTGGCTTTCCCTCGGTAAGTCTGCTCAGCACCTGAGTACTGAGCGTTACTGGTAGCAATGGGAACAGTAACCTTTTTTTTTTTCTAGCGTGTTTCATCTGACCTGTGCCCATTTATCTGTACAACTGTAAGTAGTGGCAGGACAGGACTTCCTGGCTCTATTTGTGTACCAAGCACAGTACTTGGTTCTAAAACCTGGGCTGTCCTGTTTGAAGCCAGAGTTGGTGAGAAATACCTATCTCCTCTGCCAGATTAGACACTGTGTTAACTAATGAAAACGTGCATGGAAAATGTTCCGTTGTGAAGCAGCATTTTTAGCCTGTGGTCATGGAATAAGCACTATTTTTGCAATAGTGACAGCACAGTGACAAGTGGTATGCGGCCTTATGGAATCTTGGTTTGCACAAGCATGTCAGAAGAGCAGTATATATTTCAATGCATCATACACTGTGGAGGAAACAGTCTGAAGTATGTAAAAGAAAGGAGGCGATGATCTATTCTGCTTGCTTACAGTAGAACGTACAAGAAGCTGTGGGCATATCTTGCAGGTAGCTCTTCAGATGAAGGAGAAAATGACTGTGGAGAGTGTTATGAAGCAGAGAACACTTGAACCTCAGGGACTTCCAGTGCTGCAGGACTGTAATGCCTGGTTAAACCATTATTGGGAATTGATCTTGCCTTTGGGCACTAGGGTATTCTGATAACCTCTTGAGGTTCCCTCTAGTTCTGTAACTACTCCTCAGTGTTACTAGTGTTGTGATACTATAGCTTTACAGTGATTTAAGACTGTTTTAACCCAGTAGGACTAATGTGCCGAAAGGCTCTATGAAGCCACTGGTAGATACTGCAGAGGACCAAACTGCCTCATCAGTAAGGAATGACATGTAAAATGCAGGTCAATATGAAGCAAAATTTCCATTTGTGAACTGTCTCTGGCATGACATGGGAGTGGCTGTGCATGGCTGTGCATCTCTGGCACAAGTTTTTAGTCAGTGTCATGGAAGAAGGATGAGCAGCTTCCATGTATCCTGATGTGATGCACGTAGTGCCTTCAAAAGCACCTGTTGAAAGTGGTGGTGTGTCACGGTCTAGTACAACCTTCATTCCTCCTCAGCCCTGCTTCTGATGTGCAGCTGTGGCTCCTGCAGAGCTTTAGGTTGGTCACGGTACATCATGGGTAGAAATCCAGAAATGGAACCCTGACAGATTGTCTCTAAAATACCGTTTGCCCTGTCTGATGCAAATAAACTCGAGGCTTTGGAGAAGGGTATACAGCATCTCCACCTGCCTTTTTTCTTCAAAGAAACAATGTCCCTGTAAATTTTATATGCATATTGATGGGATTGCTTTTCCCGATTTAGAGATTAAATATTTTAGAGTAATGTTTAAGAGAGTAATCACTCTTTCAATTTGTTCCTTTAGATTTCTGTTTTCTAATTTGTATTTTCAAGTGGGGTTGTTTTCTTTCCAGTTGTAATATTTAGTGCCCCTTCTAGTTCAAAATGCCACAGAGAAATGGGGACTGTAATATTTGCCTCCCACATAGTGAACTCTGTCACCATCCCAGCTTTCTGGCAGTTTCGAGCCTGCCTGTGTTCAAGGAAATCATCATTCATCTGCAAATAAGGAGTAATTGAGGGAGAGTTAGTGATCTCTCCAGAGGACTGGAGGTTGTGAGCAATCAGACAGTGGTCTTGACCCTGACAAGACCTCGTTGCTTCTCCTGAGCAGTGGAGCACACTTACCAGAGTTGCTGAGACGTTTGTAACAACAGCTTTACTGTTTAAGAAAATCCAGTGCATACGGAGGGAGGCATTCCTGTCTGTACACATAGGTCTGTGGCTGGCGCTGCTCAGTGTCCAAGCGTGGCAGTGTTGCACCGGTAGTCCTGTGCCAAGTGGTTCTGACTGGGCTTCGTTTCAACAGTGGCGTCTGGAACCTTGTCTACTGTTATGGGAATGAGATTTTACAACACCAAAAAAGCAATGCCTGGGATAATTGCCGGTGCCAGGTAATCACCTCTCTTTTGCTCTTGTCTGTATTATCAAATGTGCATTTTATTTAACTTACTTGTGGATTAGATTGTTTTAAAAATGTTACATGGTAAGTTCTGTGAAAAAATGAAATCTTCTGGTGGAGTTCAGCTAAATGAAATCATGCCAATATTTTCTTCCTTTTTGTTCTTTATGGGATTTTTGCCTTCACCCTCCTCTTTTTATAACAACTATTCTGTTCAACAGTTTACTGATGGTTGGACGGCTTGGACTGCAGATGATGGATAAGCCTCTTAAGCCATAAATCTGCATCAAGTTACTTGAAGATATGTGATTGAGAAGCCTGAAGCTGCAACTGCTTAAATGTGCTGCACAAAAGTGGAAAAGACACTGCTACCTGTGCACTGTATTTTTCATATCCTAACACACTTGGGTTGTGTTTTTAAAGGACTGACATAGAGAGGCCTTGTTATGTCTTCCCAAATGGTATCTGTCTTAACATTTTCTGCACTGTGAAGCAAGAAAATATGACTATAGCATTAGTTTAGCTTCTGGTCCTGCAGCTTACTGTAGGCAAAGACCTCTTGGCCCTTGTATGCAGACAGTTGCAGGATTGAAGCTTAAATGTACATCTTGGTTTGTCCTTCTAAAATCATGTGTACCTCTAAAACAAGGGAAGAGGAGTTGCCAGTCTGTCACTAGTAATTAAGATAATAAATGTGCTTATAACATTACATCTCCCTTTCCTTGCCAGTTTATCTGGTCACAATGTTTGTCAGTCAGGGACTGTGTTCTCCCAGCACTGTGTGTCAGAAGCTGGTCCCACAAAACATAATCATGGAACAGGCTGTTGAGGTTCTGCTGTAATGCAATGAATGCAGACCCGTTCCTTGCAATTACTTGTAAGCAAAAGTGCCCAGCTATATGTAATTCATTTCACTTTTACAGATTATTATTCATAAATCAAAAAGATGCTTTATTAGGCAATGCTGAATTGCAGGCATAGCTTTTATTAAAATGTTATTTTAAATAAACTAACAAATTATTACAAACCTTTGTGTTCTACACAACTTTTTTTGTCTTTAGTCATTCATCTGGATTGATAGTTTGGCGCCTTTCTTGCAGGGTGTCTGGATATATTTGCAAACATGAATTGTATACATAATTTCTATTCTATTCTCTGAATCTAGTAACTTGTAAATATAAAAATCTGAATGGGGGGGAGGTGTAGAGAACAAAAGCATACAGACCAAATATTCAGACAAGTATTGTATTAAAGGTTGTTTGGTTTTTGTTTTCTGAGGGAATCATCTATTTTAGATTTAGAAAATTCTGTATGAAAGTTTCTTTAAAGACTGAAGGGTTCATTTGATCAGTCTCTGTCCTCAGTTGATTCCCTTGATGCCTGAAATTGTTCCAAATATAAACCTGCCATAGAGAAATAATCCTGGAAGCTACACATGGTTGGTAATGTATCCCTTTTCTGGTTTCATTTAACTTACATCCCTTTCTGCACAGATCCTGAGCTTTATTTCCTCAACCTTTCTTTGGTGCCTGGTACTGAGAGAGATGGAAGCAGCAGGGTTGATTCATTAGATGGTGAGGCCCTGGAGTTGCTTAGAATTCTCTAAGTATCAGGCTAGTAACTTTGCAGGAGGGTCACAATCGGTAGTTTTCCTTTCCTCGTTCCTTGCTGCAGCAAAACAGGCAGGTCAGTGACCCTGTGCTGCCTGAGCAGGAGGTGCAGAGCTGGGCCAGTGGCCATAGCCATAGCCAGGCTCTGCCAGCAGTGCAGTTTGCCAGGCAACTCACAATGATGAGGCAAGGCTGAGATCAAGCCAGGATGCCAGGTTAATCAGATTGGGTTCCAGATTCTCAGAGACATGGCCAGGAATGGGTGCAGCTCCAGCAAGGGTCTCAGCAGCCTGTTCCCAGGCCAAACAACTTGGGTCAGAGCTGGCTTGAGCACAGGCAGTGAGATCTTGAGGGGGAACTGTACTCAGAGCATCTTCTTAAAACCCTTATTCATCATCCTGCAGAGTTCAGCTTCAGGTGTTCTCCTGTATTTACATTTCCCTCTTGCCTCCCTGCATAGAAACAGAAGATGGTTTGTTTATATGTCATCCTTTTAAGTGCCTAATCCCAGCCCATGGACTCACCATTGGTGGGCATGTGTATCAGTGTCTTTGCTCTAACTTGAAAAAGTTAGTAAGCCAGGCATTAGCATTTCAGACACTTCTCTCTAAACTACTTCATATTTTTTTTGCCTCTTCATATTGCTGTTGAATCAGTTTTCTTCTGTAGGAGTAAGATGCACACATAAATGCATCTCCTGCAATAAAGTGAGAACATCCATGATCCAGCAGTTTTCTAATTGTCTAATGCTGGTCTCAAATCAGGTAACTTGCAAATTTGAGCTGCAGTTGTCTCTGATGGAATAAATAAAATAGAAAACAGGGAATAGGACTTAAAAGCTTTTAAACTCTTTAGACCAAAGTGTTAAGCTGTTGTTCCATGAGCTTTGGAAAGCAGTAGCTTGAACTGAGAACTGCTGATAGAATGTGTTACCACTTTTTATGTTCAGGAGAAACAGCAGTAATACAGACAAAGGGACAAGAGAAAAGCTTTAGTCTTACATACTCTTTACCCCCTTGAAACTTTTTCAGCATATTAAATTTTTTAAGCATTAGATGACATTTCTGCACTAACAATCTGATATGTGTCAATGAATCAAAATTAAAATGACTGTACAGGCCGTGTTTTTAACTAAGTCATTGGCATCTCTTGTACTAGAGACAAGTGATTAATTTATCTTGTTTTTTAATTATAAAACCATTGCTTTAATGCCTGTTACAAACAGTCTGAGGTTGTCCTTCATTGCCATGGCAAGTTACATGTATTCTACCAATAAATTAAGAGACATTTAAATAGCATAGGAACATCTGTTAGTACTAATGGAATGACCAATGGCAATTGAATTAAACTCTCTAGTGCATTACTAACCATATACCCCTATCCCTGTGTAGCTCTTACAGTATTAAAGTGGCGTTTTCTTTAGGTGCAATTTTAATAACAAAATATTTGACTTTTTGGTAAAACTGTTTTAGATTAAATTGCTTTCCAGGAAATTAATGTAACCTATATGTTATGAAAGATTAGGTCAACAACAGAAATTTAAATTTTAATATCCATTATAAAAGCCTACAAATACATTTCTTTTTTTACAATGCTTAAAGTAATCATTAACAGCTTTAAATCCTTAAAGAACATACTCTGTTTATACTTTAAAATGGCAAGTTTAATGTAACTATTAAGTCTAAAGCATCTATTCTAAATGCAATTGTTAACAGAAGTAGCCTAGTTCAACATCCTAAAAAAACAGTTTATTGTACATTGCAAAGTCCTTTGCACGATATTATTATAAAACTTACCATAAAAGCTGGGGAAAGTACTGAACGAGCATATAAACAGCGACACAATGAATTATTAAAGTTGCTGTGTGTTTTTAGGTACCTAAGTTGGCCTTTAAGATCTAAACCAGAAAACAATATTGTTAAAGAACAGCCCAATATGTAGCCCCTCATGTAGCTTATTCAACTTCTGTAGTTTAGTTTGATCACGCAATAAAGATATAAAGAAACAGGAGTTTATTGATAATTTATGCATTTTATTATTTTATGCATTTTATTGTTTTATTATTCACCCTTAAAATGACTGACAGACCACAGTGATTCAGGCTTCTTAAAAGGTCACTGTGACACTCCCTTGACAGGACAGAGGAAAATCTCTACAGGTCTTTGACCAAAAATGGCATTAAGTTAATTATAACAGCAGAATCTAATTGTTAGGCTTCACTTCACAGCTTGAGTCTAGCATTCAGTACTTGTTTAGCTATTTTCCAATATTGCTATATCTTTCTACAGCCATGTATCAGCCAAGTTTTTAGAGTTTTCTTGTGTAGTATCTATAAGTGGATTGCTTATGTCCCACTACAAGGATTTAAGCTCTCATTGCTACATGAATATTTGCAGCTTACAGACCCTGAGTAATTCTTAGTTACAAGTGAGTTCTGAAATCCTTGTAGGAGAGTTTGGTATTCCTCACAAAGCCGGAGCTGTGCTTCACTCTCATCTTCCTGCTGAGGAACCAGCCTAACACCTGGAAGCCTGGTGCTGCTCTGCTTCAGCCCTACTTCTAACTGCTTGTGTGCTTCAAGCATATCCCAACAGTAGATGTTGCACTGGATGAATAACCATAACAGTTGTGTTTAAGAGCACAGGGATAGGAGATCATCTATAGAAAAATGTCAAATGAAATCTACTTCTAGTAGTTTTGGCAATATGCATTATACAATACTTCATTACATCCTACTTTATAGCCAGTATTTTACATGGTATTATATGTGTACTATAACAGGTAATAGAACACAAGGTCTTTTTTTCTTCTTTACTATTGCATAGTCTTAAGAAAAGTTAGAGCAAATAGGCATTTCAGGTTTCCAAGTGCAGGAGAACCAAACACAGCGCACGTAGTATCTGTACAGGATGGCATTTTTTATCTGTTTCCTCCATATTTGGCTACCCAGTCTGTTCTTCCATGTACTCGCTGAATTGTTGGTGGGTAAGTTAAGATACTCATGTTTTTTGCTGGTGAGTTGAAGGTAGGACCTGGTAATGGAGCACGAGCAGCTTTGGTTTTCCAGGAAAAATCTGAAAGGAACAAGAACTCAGAATTAATGATGACTAAAAAGATACTTTACTTCTTCACAGAGAAAAGAATGAGAGGTTAAAGATGACTTATGGTACTTAAGGGTGCCAATGTAGCAGGGTGCTTTTGTCTCCTACATGTCATAAAACATCCTGAGTTGGAAGAGACCCAAAAGGATCAAGTCCAACTCCTGACTCTGCACAGGACAACTGCAAGAATCCCACTGTATGCCTGAGAGCGTGCTGTCTATGCTTGTTTTAAGATAAGGTGCATGTTTCCTATAGTTTGTGTGTTTAATCCTCACCTACTGGATACTTGTTTTGCAGCAATCCCTCGAGAAAACATTGAGACTGAAATTCATTAGAAAAACTGATGCATATACCTACAATTCTGAATCTCCTATTATAAAACTGCTACAGAATGAGTGTGTTCTTTCTTCTATCTCAGATATCTCAAATATTTATAAAAGCATGTAATTATAACATTGATAAACTTATTAAGACCCAAACAGCTTAGACTGAAGGACAGCTTCTGGAGACCTTTTTGTTCCCTTTGAGATTTTATGCCTTTTATTCCCCTCCTGCTCAACTCAGAACTCCTGGTTTAACTGGTCACAAGTCCTCTTTGCTCCGTTTCCCATTTCTCCATTGATTTTATAGGATCTATTCCAAGTCTGAAGGTTTTCTTATTCCTTAATACTGGTATCCACCTGATATCAAGCACTAGCAGTAGTGCATTACTGTATTCCTGGCCTTCCTACCCAGATTTCCCCTTTTTGCATTTCAGGTAGTTGGCAATTCCTCAAGCTTCATGTGACTAAAGTAATTGTGCTGCTGCAGGGGCTGATGTTTCTTGATGTTCATGACCAATTCTGCCATTTTCCCAATCCTTTAAAGTCAGTTATTTGGGACCTCTCTTATCCAGACTCCTGCTATACCTTAGCATTCCCAAAATAGGTCCTACCCCTTCCATTCCTACATTTGTAGTTTAGTCTTCTTTTATTATGTATTAGTGATACTCTTAAAAAAAATTTCACATTTAAATTTAATGGTTCTTTGGTGCCTGTGTATCATTCTGTTTCTTACAGAAACAGTGGATTGAACCCATTAAAGAACAGGTGAGGATCAAGGCATTTAAAAAGGAGGAACATCGAGGAACTGAAACTGGGAGTCAGGTCTCCACCTCTATGAAAACTAATACTTTTCCTTTTTATTGTAGGCTGGCATTCCCTATCTTTGGTCAGAAAGTATGATTCCAGCCTACAGTAGTTTGGCAATGAAGGCCACTTTTCCTGAGTCTTGGCATTTTCCACAGAGAAACCGATCCTTTATACTACATTAAATTATTTAAATCATGGCATTAAAAAACTTAACAAATTAAGAGAGAAATACAATTGAGAGCATAACTTATTTCAGTGTGCATAATGCAAAGCAAGGGGTCACCAAAAATGTTAACGTTCAAATATTGACAGCTAGGAGATAAAACCTGCCATTTCCTTCATCCTTATCTCTCTTCCCACGCAAGTCTGCAAAGTTTAGGCTAAATATGAGGGGTTTAAAGCAATAGTATTCTTGCTCTTTTCCAGGACATGGAAGAGTGTCTTAATTGACCTCCATCTGCCAGCTTTTCTGACTTTTACTACACATTTTCCATTTCTAATTACAGATTTACAGTGAATTTATTTCCCTTTGGAACACCATATCTAATCCCTTCTCTTTCACACTATTCACAGCAGTCTAGAGATAGTTGCAGATTTTGTCATCCTATGAACTTCTTGATCCACACAGTGTGACAAATCAAAACTCTCGCAGCTGTGTTCCAGCAGTGAGTTGATAAGATAATGAACTGCAGCTCCAGCCTTCCCTGGTGGGCTTCTGATGCACTCAGGCACAGAATACATATACATCTAAGCATATTTTATATATGCATGCCATCTCCTTCCTTCCTTCCCTCTCTGCTTCTCAGAAGTTACTTGCAAATTCCTAAGGAGAACAGGTAACTCAAAAGAGCACATCAGCAAAAAGACATTATTTAAGCAGGACCATATGAGATTGGTGTGCCATAAGCCCTTTGGTTAAACAATTCACCAAATTGAGGGCCTTGCTGTTTCCTCTGAAGTAACTAGAGAAGCATGCTGCCGGGTTTGGACAAGAGCTCTAAATCTTCACTCACAAACCAGTTTCTCCTGCATCCTGAGCACTTCTGTTCATCTTCTCTGAATTAGGAACATACAAAGAAAGTGCTCAGAATGTCATCCATACTGTAGAAAATCCAAGGTAACAGTTACATTTAGAACAGGCTTCACGTTGTTTTTACCAGATGAATGGAGTCCAGTCTACATGACCATTTACTACAGAGTTGTGGAGTTACATATTTTTACAATTCTGCTTAGTCCATCACCACTAATGAGCCATAGTTTAGCAAATGGTCCAAACTTTCTAGAATTATAAAAGGTTTGCACCTTTTGTAATTATTTTCTTTTTTACCTAATAAATATTAGTAGCAATAGTTTCTCTAGCTATCAGGACTACCTCTATACGCCTACATTCAGTTCACTTATGTTAAGAACAATTTATGCCCTATACTTTTAATTACAGAACTTGAGGAAAACCTTACTAAGGGCTGATCTCTTTGGAAGCATGGAAAATTAACGTTTCTCTTTGTCTTGGTTATGCATGGTAAAAGGATATTTCTTACCTGATACAGGTGCACCAAGAGGTGCTAGCTGTATCCGTTGTCCAGCTGAGCCAACTTCTTTTTTATGGAAGGACGAGGTGTATATTCCTGATGGGTTGTAAGCAGCACTACTTACAAAGCCAGGATTTCCTGTTGACATTACAGAATTTAGAATTTTCAGTGGCATTCAGAAAACCTTGCCTACTTTTTATAGTCACTTCAAAATATATTTGCAGTACCCCAAGAGTACTCCCTAGTGCTCATCTCTTGAAAAAGAGTATATATTAATTCTTTGTTTTGTATCTTTACAGCACTTAGCAGACTTGGAAGCTGGAGATCAGCAGGAAAAAAACAACAGAGAAGGGTGAACATAGAAAGGTTTACACCGAGTTTTAGAGAAAGATAGAAAGGATCTTACCTTTTGCTTACATCTACTTGCTTTACCAGAAGCTGGTTTAAGCTATTTGAAAACTAGCACTCAGCCCTACTCTTATGCTCAACATGTTTGGCCTTGTCATGGTTTGAGATCCCCCCAAAAAAATCTAATTCCCTAGTCCAAGCCCCCTCCCCCATCTCAACCTAGTATAAGATGTGTTTTATCCAGACAAAACACGAGACTCAGAATGGAGGAAAGGGAATATATTACAATGACTGTACAAATAAATATTATAATACATTATACACACAATCACAACTATCTCTACCATGACATAAGTATTTACAATGGATCAGATCTCTTCTCCCCTCCAAATAGAAGTCCAGGAGGGAAGAAGGAAAGATCCTTTCTTCAGAGCAGCAATGTCCCTAAGGCAGCAGGTCTCTCTGTCTCTATGCAGCAGCTGTAACTGGATTGTTGTAGCTGGATCTCTTCTCAATACACACAAGGGGGTCTCCAAGCCCCTTGGCCCGTCGTCTCCAAACGAGGGTCTTTCAAGACACAAGGGGGTCTTCTTTCATCCCTCTTGGCTCTCCTTCGACTCCAAGCGAAGGTCTCACCTGTGGACTGCCAGCAGGGACAAAACTCGCTTCACCACAGGCATATCACAAAATGGAGGGGCATCTTCGTGAAAGTCCCTTCCTCAGGGGTTCACCCCTGAGTCAGAACATCTTGGGCAGCATTCAGTTGAAAGCCTTTGCCTCAAGAGTTCTACCAGAGCTCCTGTGCTCTGTCTCAGGTTGCTAGGCTTGTCAGCAGCAGTGAGGGGGGCCAAGGTCAACCTCCCCCCGCATTCCTTCTCCATCCTGGTCCAGCTTCAGGACGTCTTTGAGCTTCTCAGCTCCTCTCTCTCTGGTGCTGCAGCACTCCAAGGCTCCTCTCCTTAATAGGAGTCCATCTCCCTCCTTTCTCGGAGGTCTCAGAGGGGTATGGGGTCTTATTCTAGTTCTTACCTCAGCTTCCTCTCTCCCTGCTGCTCTCGGCTCTCTCTCTCTTCATTAGATATCTCTGTGTCTGCTTGCCTGGCTGCAAGCTGCCTCTGCTGCATTCTTATCTTTTTGGCTCTCTGCCATCGCTTCTGGACACTGCTTCTGCCGCTGCTGTCTCTGCTCACTCACAGTGGAGAAAACTTTTTTAGCTCTCACCTGCAGGCACCTAGCCCAGCTTTATGCTGTTCCAGGTCCCTGCAGCCCCCACTGGGGGCTGGGGGTCCAAAGCCCCCCAGGGGGCTCCTGCCCTCTGCTCCTCGTGGCCTCAGAACATGGCTACCGCTTCTACAACCAAACTACAACTAACCTTCTCTTCCGTTTGCTTGTGGTATGTTTACATTTCGCAGAAGCGCCCATTGGACAAAACTTCAAAACTTCCAGGGGTCACCAGCCCCTGGGGTTTTACCACTTTCTTAGCTTCAAGGGGAAAACCGGTTCAAACTACTACAGGCCTAAATCTAAAAGAACTGAAACCCAACTTCTCTTGTGGGAAGTGGTGCACCACTTGAAGTTGACTGCCAGTTCCATAGCTAAAAGGCCTACTATAAAGATCAGACCCAACTACCCTCTTTCTTTAACCCTGGTTATAATATTATGCCTAGTTTTGGTTCAGATCTTTCTTTAAAGCAGCAATCCCATGGAAAGGTTGACATAACCATCCTCATTTGGAAGCTGAGAAGCATTGTGCATGTACACACAAAATTAGTACTGAAATTAATGTTCAGTGGCAGAAGGATCTGTTACAATACTTAGATTCCCTGGTCCAAGAAAATTTCATACCTTCCTCATATCTGTCATCACTTGGGACAGTGTAAAGACTGTGCTGGCACAATGTCCAGAGAGAAATGCTTTTCTCTAGTGGTATGGTTCTGTGTTCAGTAGTATTGTGAAATACAAGGCCATACACAGTAGTTTGTTTTAACCTTTATTAAATGTGTGCATATTCATCATAGTTTCAGTATCTGCTTTGACAGTTTTTGTCTCCTAAATTGCTAGCCTTTGTGCAATCCCATAATGTTCCTCTTCACACACAGTCCTCTCTGATTATGTCAGAGCTCAGAGCAGTGGATCTATAAGCTGCAAAAGTGGTCATCTACAATCTAAAAAAGGTATCCTCAGCTAATTACAGCTGCATTGGGTTGTTGCAAACCTCCCTGTTCAGGAGCACTAACAAAAAGCGTTCAGCTAACTCAGTTTTGCCAGTCTCCTCAAACTGTCACTTCACAGCTCTGCAAATAGTTGGGTCTCCATGTAGCTTTCCTCTGTCCACTTGATGCCAGTTTCCACAGTAAAGAATGACACATCAATACAGCTGGTGAAAAATAAAACTTTAATGAAGTATTCCAATAAAATTTAACTTTCTTGTAGAGTCTAAGTTGTTCTTCCTTTTCAGGAATTTGCCTGAAAACCAAAACAACACAGTTTTAGTGGTTCATTCACCTGCTTGTGGATATATACACACACATTCTCTTATTCCCCAGTTCCTAGCTATTGGGAGTAGTTCAGATCTGAGAACTCAATAACATTCCTTAAAATTCTGAGGTCTAAAAATAAGAACATGACAGGCCTCAAATAATACAACCTTAAAAAGACTACTTCTATCTGCTTCTTTGCTACAGCTCGGCAAAGCTGCATAGCTGTCAAAAATTGTTCAACCATTTTTTTTGGTTCTCCTTACCTCTCAATGTCCAATGTCCTTTATGAATTCTTCTGCAGGAAGTGAAAAAGTGCAGCCAGGATGAACAGTCTGGGTGAAACAGAGAGGTCTGCAGGGGTGATCTTTTGTTGGATGAGAACAAGGGAAGCAGGAAAAAAAGTTCAATATAAAATAACAGAATAGCTACAAATTTAAAAACATCCTATTTAAAAGCACAGTTCCTTACCTCTGACTACTGCCATACAAAGGAAAGGGTTCTTGCTAGAGAAGTAATCATCCATCAGGCATCCAGGAGGTCTGGCAGCTGGTCTATAGGCAAGCACTCATTGCCATGATGTCCACAAGGGTGGCCAAGGCCATACCCCCGTCTCAAACAACACACACCTGATTCTTCGTAAAGGATAAGGTTGTTGAATTGTTTGAGGTAGGTAGTGAGTTCAAAAAACCCTACAAGTAGTTGCAATGAGATGTGTCGCATGGGCAGTACACACCAGAGGGGGCAGGAACAGGGGGAGAGGTAAAACATTCCAGCATTTGCAATGCTTATAGCCAACAGTGTATTTAGACATAAACTAGGCTGCCTGGAATCCTGAGTTTGCACCTTCTTACACTAAGGTAACTCCACCAAAATCTGTTCAACCACAGCACTGTAAAATCAGTGTAAGAATCAGGTAGAGAATCCAAATGCGGGAAATGGTTCAAGTCCCAAGTCCTGTCATGAACAAGAGATGCACGTGCTGCTTAAGGATCACTTCTTCACCATTATCCAGCAACAGGGCAGTGACCTGCTGTGGACTGTAATTAGGATAATAAAATACTCTCTGCCTTTTAAGACACAGTAAATGCCAAGAATCCAGAAGTCACAATGAAGAGAGCAAGGTTTGACAAAACAGAGTGCAACTGCAAATGGAAGTATATGATCATCAGGAACATGCATTATAAACATAATTGTTTTACAAGAAACTGTAAATAAGAAACATACAAAGAACTAGGCTACAATTGCTATAAATTACCTTTTGGATCTTCTAATTTTTCATTAAACCTTTCTTTGCATGATAGCTTTTCAATAGGTATAATTAAGTTCTCATCTGTAGGTAAGGAAAACGAAAGGAAGAAAAAGATGGAAAGACAGAACTTTAGAAAAAGGATAAGAAGAACCTGTTTAGGTGATGTTCCATAGCACACTGAGCAGGCAGTAATAAGGTCAAACTATTTGCTTAAATACAGTACCTATGGTCTAAGAGGATTATGGACAAAATTTATCTTGACAAAACTTTATAAAGAATGGCTGGTCTATACCTTCTTAATGTTCTGAAAGCAAAATACGTAGTTTTACATATGAAAAAGTTGTTATGAGTCATTTGTTAAAACAAGAGGAAAAAAAAGCTTAGAAGCTAAGCTTGACCATAGAATTTAAACCAGATGGTCTTAACTACATTAATTAAATAAAGTATGATGAGATATAATGTGATCATCTTCAATTGCACTTTTACCTGTAGTATTTCTCCTGAAAGTCAATCCTCCTCCAGTATGTGCCAGCGATTTAGAAAACAACTGGTTGTTCCAGGTTCCTTGTGATCCTTCTCTATTGACTGCTGCTAAAGAGACACTCTTTGGGTTTACACCTTAGAAAACAAATGATAAATAATGTTATAAATATCAATTTTCAAACATTATGCAACCCATGAAAAATGCACATTTTTAGAACAGTGAACCAACACTGAATTATTTGTGCTATAATGTGAACACCATTAATGTAAATTAACAATGTCCATTGATTAGGTTAGATTTTTAAGCTAAGCCATGAAAACTAGTGACACTGATTTAAGAAAAATTCTCTTCATGCTTTCAAGAGAACTTTTAACAGTCTTTTTAGTACAGTTACTTGGTTTCTATAAAACCATAATCGCATTATTGATATTTTTGTCTATCAAAAAATTAACACAAATTAAAAATACCTATCAAAAACTAGGGTTCTCAAGACTGAAAATAAACTATTTCTTTAAGGGTTAAGTTAAAAAGTAGGACAAAGAGGTTCTTGTTACTTTGCATGTTAGGAGCATTACAAGACTTAAGGGGATTACACTGCACGAAAACAGCTCCCAGATCTGCTGGTTACAGAACTAAAGTAATATGTATAAATAACAAATATGCTCCTTGGAGCTATTATTCCCTTAAATCTTGGAATTAATTATTTTTTACATCTATGCCTTTCTAACTGAAAACCAGAGAGACACTAGAATCATGCTTAAAAAGAAGATAAGAAATATAGATGAACCTTCCATTTGTGTTACCTTTAGATAGGGAAGCTCCTCGCCCTTTATATTTTTCTTTTTCTTTTCTTTTGGACTTAAACTCTTGAGCCTCAGGGCATCCTATTTAACATTCAGGAAGTGATTTCATATTCAGAAGTCATCACTGCCCTAATGAATTCCTGACAAATTAATGATACGTTGTAACAAAACAACTTGCCTGACAATGAGGAATTCCTTTGTGAGCCACCTAAATTCTCACATGTGGATTACAGCAGAAGTCATGATATGCTTATTGGAATTGTACAAAGCATCATGGTAACAAATAAATGACACTAAGTGACACCAAGAAAATAATTTGATTATAGTATATATTTAGAATACTTATTGAAGGAAACATTCTCTTTGCTTTCCCCTCCTTTCCATTCTCATTTCTAGCAATTACATAATTTCATGTTATTTTCCTGATAAAAGCACCCAGATTTAGACTAAGTTATCTATTTTTAAAGATACCCGGGGAGGGGAAGTGAATGTGTGAGTTCCTACCAGTACCAGTGGCTGATATTTCTAAACACTTCCTACAAAGAAGGCTAACTGTGTAAAGACCTCCAACCTCCTGACACTGCAAAACTGATAAATATGCATTATATATGTATAAAATCATAGAATGGTTTGAGTTGGAAGGGACCTTAAAGATCTTCTAATTCCCACACCCCTGCCATGGGCAGAGACACCTCTCACTAGATCAGGTTGCTCAGAGCCCCATCCAACCTGGCCTTGAACACTGCCAGATATGGGGCACCCACAACTTCTCTGGGCAACCTCTTCCAGTGCCTCACCACCCTCATAGTAAAGAATTTCTTCTATATATCTAATTTAAATTTCTTCTCTTTCAGTTTGAACCCATTACTCTTTGTCCTATCACTATGGTTCCTGATGAAGAGAATATATGTAGTTTCTTCAGTCCTCAGACACACTTGCTTATAGGTCAATCAGGATATAGTCCTAGTAGTCCCAGAGATGTTGGATTTATATTACTGAGGATTTTTTATGTTACTGGTCATAAGAGGTCCTGTGAACTTTTATGGTGTACAAGCCACGTTTACATAGCCATGAACTTCTGCATCAATTGTGATATGTTCTGGGAAAGGCATTTAGTCCAAAGCTTGAAAATTTAGCCTGGTTATGAACAGTAAAATTATCCAATGAGAAATCCAAAGTTTAAATGTACTGTATGTAGATTGTGCCCACCTTGTATTTTCTATATGTATTGACTTTTAACCTTACCAGGTAGATATCTTGATTGTCTTAGATAGTACTGTTTTGCTGATGTATTTGATCTTCCAGAATCATTTCTCATCAGAACCTTATTTTCCGCTCCTGGCTGGATATAGCATGAAGGCTTTGGTTCTGGCACACTGAAAAAATCAAAATTTCCAAACAATGTGACCAACACCTCCATCTCAGAATACCACAAGCTGACTTTAGCCTGAAGAATAGGGTGCTCTTCAGTTATCCCACTTTCATCAGCAGAGTCTATTTCCAAAAAGTAACAGCCAAATCTAATACCTCATGAACGTTTGACCTGGTATTGGAAGAAATAAGTGTATCCAACAGTACAGAATGAGAGCAAATGGGGAGCACAGTATCACTTAACTGACAAAGGAAATTATGTTAGTATGTCTGATTTTAGTAAGACAGACATTTTCTTAATAACACAAGAAACACCTAAACCCTGTAGTGCCTGAAAGCAAATTTGATTGTGTTGGAATACTGCTAGCACCAAATCAACACCACACCCAAAGCTGGTCTGCTCATACAGCTTTTGGCATTCTTGCAGAATTTGGGTGACTTGAATTTTCGCAGACTTGTCTTAATCAATCTATAAATCTACTGGACTGTTTGCTAAAAGAAAATACAATTTCATAATTGTAGGACCTACCTAAAAATAAATTCCTTGTTTTTCTTTTCTTTTAACAATGCAATGCTAGGCTTCTTTGAACATGACATTCCAAATTCAGGGTCATCCAAGTCATCCCAGCTATCCATAGCCTTTACCAAAGTCTGACCCCATCGTCTTCTGCAGCTTTTAGGACCTAGTGCAACATTCAGAGGGCCACTAGCTGCTTGTTTCTATTTTAAATAAAAAAAAACCAACCTTTAATTCCATTCTAAAATTTTATATTTTGTATCTAGTTTACTTTCTGAATACTGGTTAAAAACTTTGAGGGAATTTTCCTCGTTACGTTGTGCCTGTTTTGGTCATAGTCTCAGAATGACTTTAAGTACAAACCATAACAATAATGCCAGCATGTATTTTGAGTATAGTTCTTTTGGACTCTCATCCTTAAATTGCCCAAGTCTACCTAAAGTACCTAAAGTAGTGAAGTTAACATTCTATTTGCAGATCCAGTTCTGTGTTCAGGCTCTACTGCTGGTATCTTGTTGAACTTGTGCTCTAAACAGTGGTAGGTGAACCTTTGAGAAATAGAATACAATGGTGCAGAACACTGCTGTGGCCCCAAAGTAAGTACAGCAAATAAAAGAAGCTTGTCAGGCCTTTCTTTAACATTCTCTTCCAATGAAATGACTAAATTTAAAACCTATCCTTTCATCTGACTACTATTTGCTTTCCAGTATTTTCTGAATACCTTTTACTTTTAACATGCTTTATACTGCAGTTCAGCGAGTACAACCCAAAAGCAAAATGAAGATTACAAACCAAAGTTTACTATTCATCTTACAAAAAAATATTAATTGTTAAATTCTTGTAAGGTTAGGAATTGGATAAACCTTCTTGGGTATTTTCCTGCATGAGGCAAGAGAAGTTCTCCCTTTCCACTTCTCTACTGTATACTGACAGTATTTTTGTGAATTATTTCTCAAAGGTCAATAAGTCATAGCTGTTATAACTACGTTACTGCATAAGCATGTCAGTAAGGGCTATTATAAATGAACACACATTGTTGTTTCAAGCAATCTTTTCTTCTGACTGGCTGCCAAATTTTAGGAAGCGACCTGGCATATCCTCTATTAGTCCCTAGTTATCTATTTGTATTTCCTCTAATCAAATGTAGGACAAATGATCACCTGGTTGAATATACTAAGAACTTTTAATAAAACCATCTAAGTAGTTATTAAAGACAACTTACAGGTGATGAATTTTTATTGATAATTGGAAAAAATGGTTGTGCCTGTGGCTGCTGCTGCTTTGGTACTTGCTGGTTAGCTGTATTCTGAGGCAACTGAATTTGCTGGAGAGGCTGGTGGTTAACCTTTGGCAGGGACTGTGGCTCTGTTTTGTCAGGTAAATCAGGTGAAGACAGAGGTTCTGGCTTGGATATAGCTTCCAGTTTAGGAAAAGCTGGCTTTGGCTCTGTTGGCTGAACCGGTTTAATAGGAGTCTGCTTCTCCAGATACTGAGGAGGAGGTCCTAAAATTTGGCCAACTTGAAAGTAAGGATACTTCAGAGCCTGGAGAAACAGATATAACATACTAATTTTACTTCAAAAAGTTGATTTTGGTAACTTCAGCAAGGATCTAAGCAGGTTTCTGAAACATTTAAGCAAGCAAATCCTGCACAGGTGCAGGATGGATGCATAATGAGATCATATGTAAACAGTGTGTATTGATAACTGGCAGTTCTGTGTTTCAAAGTCTTCCCATCATAACTTAGTAAGACGGATCCAATTGTGCATGTTACAGCAGTCATGTCCTTTCTTTCCCTCCTTTACTGCTAGGTTTTGTGGAGTCTGTGCTTTGTGGTGTGTTTTACATTCAACACCATTCTAAATTCATGCAGTAACAAATCTCAGTTTTAAAACAAGTAGTCTCCACTACCTTTACCACATGCTTTATTGCATGTTTCCACTGCTGACTATGTTTTGGCAACTCAAGGAACAGTCTTGGTTTTTTTAATTAAAAAAACCAAACCCAACAAAAAAACCCCAACAAAAACAAACAGAAGCAAAAAACCCCACATAAGAAAACCACCCAAACAAAACAAATCCCCACAAGCAACCCCCCGGAAAAAACCCAACAAAAAGCAAACAAACAAACAAAAATACCCACAAAACAAAACAAACAAAACCAAGAAAAAAACAGAAGTGAGATGATTGCCATGTATGGGTTTTACAATTACAGAATGTTAATGAGCAAAGTTTCTCCCTCATTTTTCTTATCACCAGCTTTCCCTGCTTTTGTTTTGCTTTAAAATACATTCGCTGTGCTTGCTGTGTCTTCATGGTGTTTATTAGGAAACTACAATGTCTGTCTTAAGGCAGATGTTTATTTCATCCTTTTACTCTGACCTTTTCATGTCCATCACTGGATGCATAGCATGGACACACCTTAGTAACACACCTCTTTCTATGGACACACCTTAGTAACACACCTCCTTCTATGTCAAAACAGCACATTCTGCTACTCCTTCTGGGTAGGATTCTACTCTTTGTTAGTTCTCAAAGAGGTGTTTTGCCTCAGCTGCACTCAAGAATTGCTGCCTTTTTACACATTACCACGTATATGCATTAAACTCTTTGTTTTGACTGTGGATTACACAACTGCTGCAGCTGCTTCCTTGATAACTCACTTGTGTAAAAGCTGGTTATTTGCTTTTATAAGGCACCTTACAGTGTTTTGTGTAGAGATACATAGTACTGGACTACAGATAGATCTCAGTGGCTGTACAATAGTTATGCTTTATAAAGTGGATAGAAATGGTTGCTGTATTTGGTACCATCTATTTAACCACTTCTGAATCACTTACATTACATCCAACTTGCAATATGTCTTTTCTTTCCCAATTTCCTCTATACTTCCTTCCTATACTTCTAAATAGGATTGCATTAGGTATGAATTTAAAAAAAAATAAATCCACAGAATGTAACCATCTTTGGTACTTGAAATATGTTTTCTTCAAATCAACTTGGAGAAAAACTGTGACCTTTGTGATCTATTGGTATGTTCTTCACAAAGTTCTTTCCTTATCACTTAGTACAATTTACATTCCACCTCCAAGTAAAAATAATCCTTAGCTCTTCCATACTGTATTCCATCTGCAGCTTCACAGAAAGCAAAGCGTAGTTTTCAATAACACCCTTTGCACAGCTGGGGGAGGAAAACAAAGGTAGCAGAAGTGACTTATAGAACACAACTGAGGAAACTTGTGGCTCAGCTTTTTCTCTATCCTGTATGGAGAGAGTTTTAAAATATGCCAATACAGAAGACAACACTGCAGAAATAACTGAAGAGTTTTTGATGTCTGCTGAGCCAGGTTTAGAACTTCTTCTTCTCACCACTCAATCTCATTCCCACACAAGTGTTCAAAGTGAGGAGATGTTTCTGTGGCCATCAGTAGTATGAGAACCAAATGCTTTCTGTATCTACAATTTTTTAGCAATGCAAGAAAATTCAGCCTTATACTTAATTATTCATGTGCTCAGACCTGACTTGCTGTAGGTCTCTTCTTTGGATTCCAGTTTAGCATGTCACTCATAAGCTGTATTGCTTCATTGCTGGCATTTGGGATGAGAGTTTTTAGGCTTATAGGGACACATTGTGGGAAACGGAAATTCATGGCAGAAGCAAGGTGGTATCCTTCTGGCCAGTCACTCTGTTTTAAAGGAAAGAAAAATTAATAGTAAAAAAGAACAAAGACTATGTATCTTTGAAGTATTACATCAAAATGAATGCAGTTTGAGTCATGCTTGGTTTGCATGGCTCCTTGCTAAGTAGCCAGAAACAGGCATTCCTATTATCCATTACAATTATTACAACACTAGTGAATGCAACGTCAGCTTCCAGTTTCTGGCAATCCTTCTCAAGCTCTCCTGTAGGTAAAGGTGGAACCATTGTTGTGAATACCACACTTGGAAACATTCTACCTGAAGGACAAGAGAGTGCATCATCCATAGATACCAAGAAGTACTACTTCTTTCTTCCCTCTAGAACAGCTTTTTTATACATTAGAAGATGTATTTCTTCTCTTTTTCTTCCAGTACTCCTTTGTATAGGCTAGAGAAACCCAAACAATTCCTGGATCTAGGCTTATAAAGTTTTATTTTTTTCTCTAGACTCTGATCTTTCTCTCTTGAAAAGGGAAACTTTAAACTGGATGTAATATAGCAAGTGAAACAGAAAGATTAGTTCATATGTCCATGAGCAATACTCCTTTCTCTACACATTGGTACGGTATTTGTCTTTATTGCAACAAAATACTGTTGACATAAAATACACTGTATATCTCCTATGGCCTCTTCTACAGATGTGTTAGCTGGATAGTTATCCACAGATATTTATGTAACTGATTATTACTGCCTAAGTACAGCACTCAACACATTACTGAAGAAATTTCTTTAAAGCTACATCTCTAGTTTTATTTAAAAAACCCTCTAAATTCTAATCTTATTTTCTAACATTCTCAATCCTTCTCAGCCTATCTACCAACTTAAGAAGTAAAATCTATTCCACCTGAAGGACTTCAATTCAATTTCAAAAATTTCATCAAATGCAGAACCACTCATGAGTTCTGTTTAATCTATCTTTCACTTTGAATGAGAACCAGTGAAGTTTACTCTCTGAAGAAGGCCTTCAAAACAGGTATGCACTTGTACAGTTTGTATATATATGCGCTGATGAAAATGTGAGGCACAGCATCAAAAGCCTTCCTGAAGACAATGTAGGATATTAGTGCTTTTCCTCTATCCACCAAGCCTATTACTCTGCTACAGGGCAAACTGGATTGATTTGATAGAATTTGGTCTTAAGATACCATGTTAGCTATTACTCATCTTTTTATGTACAACAGTATTAGCTCTGTTAGCACAGCCCATGGTGACTGAAGAACTCAAATATAATTATAAACCACATCTGGTTAAAATAAGTCTCAAGACTTCAAGTGACTTCCTATTCCACCTCAGAGAATAGTTTGTTCATTTAAATTAATGGAGGAAGCTTCTTTCCTCCTCCACTGCACTGTCCTCCTTTATTTGATTTGGTGACATTCTGTCTTCTAGAAGTAGTGATAAAGGAACAGTTTACAATGAAGTACCAAGGGCTGAATGTTGAACTGGTGAAGTACAGGGATAGGGCGAAAACAGCATAAGAGCAAAAATGAAAAATATATTTTTATTAAAAAAAATAAAATTAGAAGTGCACCATCACTGCCAGTACTTGAACGGTGCAATTTATTTATAAAATAAATAAAGCAATGTAATTTATAAAATAAAACAAAATAGTTGCCTGCCACTATTTAAAACACCCAAATTCACAGAAGTCATTAGTACGGTATCATGGGCTTAAACACAGGAAGGCAAACTGGAAGGAACTATTGTGCATAATTTCTGTAATTCCTTATTGTGGGATAATGGAATGAATCACAATTTGTGTCTGAAAAAAATTCTATTTGTAAAACTATCTGCAAAATCACACTATTAAAATAACTACTTCTGTTTTTCAGAATGCAGAACAGTACTTCACTTGAAACAAATGCATTATTTGTTGTGATAATTCCTATAATAATATTTAAGTACTCCTCTTACACAGTGATCTCCCTGAAGAATGCCTTTTGCATTGTGGTAAGGAGAGAAAATTCCCAAGTCTGCCCAGCAGATGACAGGGGCACAAAGGAACTAATTACAGCTTCCTGATCCCAGAGGGCTGACTTACACTGTCTCTAACCCCTAGGGTCTTTATTGGAGGCTACAGTTTTCTCTGAAATACTCAGCTGGTAATGCTCCCTGCTTTCCCAAGCAATAAGCTTCCTAGTCAGGGAATGACACTCTAAACAGTCATAATTTGCTTCTGTTAACTACTTGTAAGGTTAGAGAAAAAACACAGCGGTCAGCTCAGTGCTGCTCAGCTATTGCTCTACAAAATGAAAACCTTTCCCTGCACTTCCAGAATTCTATGCTGTTTATGCTATACATTGAAAATGTTCCAGAAGCTAGAAGGTTACTCTCTTTCACAGATATTCTTAATATACATCAAAATGTTCTTCTTAGTATCCTAGACTTGTGATCTGCTTAAGAAACTTCACATCGGCATTTGAAAACACAAGTCCTAAAATACTACTCATATTCCGCATTATTTTGATGCATAACTGTGTCATGGCAAGCACTGTTTTACACATCATACCAATTTTCACTTACTCTTCTAGAGTCAAGTTTCTCTTCCACAACCTACCATCTGTAACTCTCCACTTGACCTTTTATCCTCTGCTCTGTCATGAGTTTGCACCTGTTTCTCAGTATGTTCTCTTGGATGTCTTCCCACCACTTTCAAGCTCTTCATGTTCCTAGCTAAGCTTAATCTATTTCTGTTTTACGTTTTCAGTTCCTTCTCTATCAATATCAGCTCCATTACTAGACAAGAGTTATACTATATTTTATATCAGTAGAACACTAATGAAACTGATTTTTCTCTCCCACCCTTAGGTTTTCCCAGATCTAGAGACTCTAGTCAGTCAGTTATGTCACCAAGATCTGCTTGCATCCATAAAGTACTGACAGACATCTGCCATTTCTTACCTGTCTCCAAAATTATTTAATTGTATATGGTCTTTTTTTCAGTTTATTCAAAATTTTGAAGGTAAGCTTATCCTTTTCTTGCATGTTCACATACTCATTTGCTAAAAGAACTTTTAAACTGAAATAGATATAATTGCATACATTTTTATATGCCCTAACCAAACCTTCCTTGTAATTTAAAATAGTATTTATCCCATCCAGAAAGTAACTGAAAAACATTGTTTCCTCTCTAAAAGACTGCACATTTTCCCTCCATTACTTCTTATTGCTAATAATATTTATGAGATATCTGTGTTTGAGATCAAATTCAAAAGAAAAGCATAATTTGTCTTATTTATCATATCTTCTACTAGCTCTAAATTCTGGGTGCCACCACAGAAAAACTGCACTTTCAGGAAAGGAAAGCAAATTGGCTGTGGCAAATGAAATCCTGGGAGACTTCTGATTTGCTTTCCAATATGAATAGCTTTAAATAACTAAATTAAACAATTTTATCTGGCTTTCATCAGAGGAGAACAAGGCTACACATAATGGTATGATACACAACAGATGCTAATATACAACAAAGGACTAGCATTACATGTCATAATGGAAGCTTAAATGAAATATAGCTGAGAAAACCTTAAGCCTCAGGAAACTTACTAAACCAATAATTTAATGTGTAGGTTCTGAAATATAGATAACACAATGTTTTGTAAAAATTTGTTTGTTTGTTTTAAAAATACAACTGTAAGAGTCTTGTTAAGTCTTACCTTCTTTGGAGTCCCCAGTACTTGGCAAATTTTGAAGATTTCATCTACTTCACTTGTGCCTGGGAAAAGAGGTCTTAGTGTGTATAATTCAGCCATTATGCTGCCAACTGCCCACATATCAATAGGTGAGCTATAGATAGATGATCTCAGCAAAACTTCAGGAGCACGGTACCTATAAGGATGGAGGGAAATAACAGATAAATTAAAGTGGTAATAGAAAGGTAATTAGTTAAGCTAATGTATTAAATTCTTAATATACTTACCACCTGGTAGAAACATAATCTGTGTAAGGTGGCTGAGATCTTAGTTCTCTAGCCAAACCAAAGTCTGCTATTTTCACAAGTTCTGGTCCAATACAGAGAAGGTTTTCAGGCTTCATATCTCTATGAAAAAATCCTGTAGAGGATCAGACAAAAAAGAGTGGCAAATCATCATGTAATCACTTCTTAAGTAGCACCTTCTAATAGAATAATCCAATATTTACTTTGGGATGTTTTAGAAGAATATAGTCTTTTCCTGTCTTTTTTTTCTTTATTTTTTTTTTAATATAAATTCAATATAAAAGAATTGTAGCTCTCCCCCAACAAGTGCACACATTTTCCCTCCAGCGAATATTACACCAAGTGTTCTTAAATTAACAAATGTAAACAGTCACGAGCACACTAAGGAAAATGAATTGGCTATTGCAGAAACATCAGTTTGTGCACCAAACCAATTTCAGAATGAAATCTTTTGCAAAAGCTACAACTGCTTTTTCAGTTTTGGATAATGGAAAAATTGAGCATCTGAAACACTTACTTGATTCGTAAAATTCCTTGAATGATTTTTTAATTAGTTACTTATCATCCTGACAACAACTTGGAGATGCAGACATATAAAAGAGATGCAAATTCTGCTCAGGAACACTAATTATTAGTAACGAGGCACATAAAGTTTCTTCAGTGCTTGCTATTGGCTTGAGCACCTCTATAGTTGGGCAGTGGTTAAGTTGCTAAGCAAATCAATTCTACTAATTAATTGGAACACACAATTTGTTATATTATACATTAACTTGTTGGATATTCACTTACTAGAATAAAGCATTCAACTTCTGCATGCACAAATTGAAAACCACTCTAAGAAGCTGGCTGAAACTATTACAGTGAAATCAAATTTATCATACTCTTATCCCCAAACATGGTCAAATCAAAATATTAATATCGTACCTTAAAATTTGAAGTTTTTCTTAAAATCTAATTTTCTCATTGATTTCATGGAGAAATGGGGAAGAAAAAGAGGATGCTAACAATCAGAGAACAGTATATGATCTTGATCAGAAAGACAAGAAAATGGCAATTTCTGGGTATTTGATAATACTGAACAGAACTAATTATTTATTTGAATTCATCAATAGGCCTTATCGGGGTACATGAAAGTCAATCAGACTTCACTGGGAACATGGTTTCTTATTTCATTTTCAGCTAATTAAGAGGTTTGCAAACTCTGTGAAACTTTCTATTGTTGTGAGCACACTGCACCTCTAATTTAGACCGTGCCTGTAATTCCTAGAAACATCCCATCTATTAAAATATATTCAGATTGTATTAAAATAAATTCAGATTGTATTTAATAAGGATATTGTTTGAATTTCTCAATGAACAAGTTATATTAGTATTTTTTATATGTAGGGTATCCTATTAGTTATAGTATCGGAACACAAAAGTATTGATGTATCAATGCTCCTTGATTAGATCTTTCTGAGGAAGCAGAATTGTTTAGTATAGCACAGCATAAAAGTTTCTACAGTTTGTTTATTCATCTAGTAGCTAAGGTAGAAAGAACTACTGAACATTGTATGAACAACATCCATTGCTTTCCAAAAGAAAGAGGAAAATCCAATTATAGGAAAACAAAGAGTAACAAGGCATGGTTTAAAACTGCACCATACTTGAAACAGATAAGAATATTTTATTAGAGATAATTAATAGCCTTTGCTAAATATTTTTATTCATGTTATTTCTACGCATGATCTTCTTTTCTAAAAAAAAAGTGCAACACAGTTAAACTCTAGTATGAAACCTACCATGTTTGTGGATAAAGGCCAGCCCTTGTAATATCTGATACATCATGTTTCTGATGACTGACTCAGGGAACAACTTGTTTCTGTGAAGAAACAGAGTAGCAACTTCATGTAATTAAGAAAAAATGATGTATCTTCAGAACACACCCATTTCTTCATTTTGCATGACACATCAAGTCTTGTGCACAAAAATAAGACATATTCAACTAGCTCACTTCAAAACTCTACCAGACCTTAGTGTCACTCACTGTAAGTGCTGCAGAGGAACTTCTCTGCTGAGAGGTTCATGATCCTATCCCTCTGTAGAAGCTGGCTGGCTGGCAGTGTGCTTGACCAGGTGAACATGGAATGCACAGTAATGCAGCAAGGCAGACATCACACAGTGAGCACTGTTGGTAGGGGTGTCACCCAGGGGTACCCTTAAGGGAACCCTGATTGAGAGCAGTGCTGCTCAGCTGCAAAGTAACTCTGTGCTAGTATCGCTAGCAGCTATCGCAGGACATCAGCCCAAGAGCTCGGCACATTAGGAGGTAAAAGTGCATGACAAAGTCTGAAGGAAACACACATTACAGGCAAAAGCATTCTGCAAAGAAAGATGTTACTGCAAAGACAGATCCTACTCCAAAGTCCACCTTGCAAGTCTTGCTACGTACTGTTTGTCCAAGATTGCAACATCAGTGTTAACCTATATATAGGTTGGTTTTATGCGTGTACACGCACATAAGCATACCCACATTAAGCCAAACCCATGAGCAAAAGTAGAACGAACAGTGCTTATCCAATCCTTCATACATTAAAGTGAAGGTTATTAAAGAAAAACAAAAAGTATTTGGAATTTCTCTCATGAGTCCACACAAAGGCATGCAAACTATCATATTAACAACTGATCAAACTTATTTCCAAAAGCATTAAAATATGCAATCTTGTAACACAGAGCAATGCAGAATTCTACCCTCAGATAAGCAGGTGCAGCAACTCCCATTAACATCAATAGGGCTGCAAGAAGAGCCAAACCCAGAAATTCCAATGTGGTCTTCAAGGTAGTATGAGAATCATTAAATAAAGCATGATAGCACATTGCTTGTTTTGTGAAAAAAGACATACCTATCCTTCATTAACTGATAGAGATTTTCCTTCATATATTCAAATACAAAGTAAAGGTGGTCATTTTCTCGTATGACTTCTTTCAATTTTATTACATTGGCATGGTTTAGCTTCTTCAGAGACTGTAACAGAGCAAAATATGGCTTCAGATAACTCCACGGTGACCTTGATTCCTTATCAGAACTAAATTTTTAACATCTAAGTTTCTAGTACAGAATACACAAAACATGTTCATCTGATACTGTTACTTATCTCATAATGTCTGTTTCAAAGAACAACAAAATAGCAGTTTAATTTCAAAATAAAACCAACAACTATATTAATAGTAGTTTAAACCTATTTGTAGGGATTACCTCAGAGCTGGAGCGAAGATTAGCATAAAAACCTAATTCCCTACAATGAAAGACAGATCTGAAGCTGTAACAGCTCTTGCTCACTGAACTGAATAAAAACCCAGCATTCATTTTTTTTTTCCTTTTTGGCATGAGACTTTAATGAACAAGGATTTTCTTATGGATGTACTTTTTGGATATACTCATTATGCAAAACCTCCAATAAGTTAAATCTAAACTCCTTTGTTAGGGAGTTTTGTATATACAGAAAATGCCCAGATGCCCAAAATACGGAATTTAAGCCCAGGATTTCAAGTGTTATTCTATCACTTGGCTAGCCAAATATCCCAGTGTTTTCTACAAATGCCCCAAATGCAAGATATAAAGAATGGAGATATACCTAGAAATCTGCAAATAAAATGAAAGAGCAGGATAGTCAACCACAGGAATATACACATACAAAACCAATTTCTTTATCTTCTCTCAGAGACAAGAGGCTTGGCTGTGAGACATGGCCACTGCTTGAGAATAGTAGGGTATTCCACAAAGCAGCAGGACCTCTAAAAGTAAGAGCAGCCCATGGTTTTGTGAAATCTGTCGCCATTTAAAGAGTTTGGCCTTATGCTTGGACATTGCAGCTGCCCTTTTCCTTCATGCAAGCCTAACAAGACACTTATTTTTAAACGTGGTCTGTTCACGACTTTACCTTGACTTCTCTCAAATTCATACATTCATCCCATGAATAGAACTTTCTTTTCATTCTGAAATACAATTCCGAGATAAAATATTTTCAGTGAACAGTACAGAATGCTTTTAGAATAAAAAACCCAAACATGTTATTTCCTAAGTGCAGCATTACCTGTATTTTGACCTCAATTTAAATAATTCAAGTATACCCATCAGCAATATTATTAAAAACCAGCTCAACACTTAGAATTGCTATAAATTTGCAGTGATTAATCATCAAACACTCAAAACATACTTTTAGAGAAGTACAGCCAGAGACCATGTTACTCCAAAGTATAAGGGACACAAAATCCCTTTGTATTATTGGAGTTGTGCTCTTAATAATATGGTAAGCAATGATGACACTGTATGTAAAACATGGAAAAACATGGAAATTGCACATTCTAGGAAAAAAAGAAAATTATACTTTTAAAATCTGCAAGGTGTCTGGACTGCTTACTATTATAATTAAGCATCTAACTTGACCAGTCATTTTACAAATCTGTTCCAAGGTATTAATTACAAAAAAAAAAGTTTCATTTTTTTCAGGCAACATTATACATACATATGCCTCTAAACTAATTGTTGTACATAACAGTGTAATCCATTTATTTGTATGTCTTGCATACATCCAGATATGGATATTTGGTTTTGCTCAGATCTTGGGACAGGGTTGTGAATGTCACTGCTGTGTTTCTGTAAAGTTCTAGCACCTAAAGCGAAGAGATTTAAACCCAAGATTTTCATTCAAAATAAAAGTATCTTCAATCAAAACTGTCTCCTCTCAAATCCCAAACTTAAAAATCACACAAAAGAATTCCACATCCTGAAATCATGAGAATGAAAAACACTTCACACAAAATGTTGTTCCTTTTGCAAAAAATAATAAAAATTATCAACTGGAGATTTTGTTTTCTTTAGGTTAGATTAATATTAACTTCAGTAACAGTACTAGCAAGATATGGAGAAACCTGAAATTCTCAGAAATTCTTAAAGAGAAAGTCAGTACATTATATTACAATTAACTTAGTGCAGTAAATCGATGAATAAGGAAAAAGAGTCTCAGCAAGATACAATTTCTGGTATTTCAATTCATGCTTTATATTCTGCTTGCAATTCCCTAGGAATTTCATGTGGAACTTCCCCATTCCTCTAATAAATTGTTGTTTTGGAATCATCTTTTAAGGCAGGTATGACAAAGCTCATGATTACACATAACACAACTTCATTAGATCCAAGGAGACAGCCTTTATTTACCTGACCAGATTGTTGCTGTTATTTATCACTGTAGCAACACATGAAACTTAATGCACTATTTACAAAGATTAGGGGGTTGGAAGGTCTTTAAAAATCTACCCATTAAGACTGGTATTCTTACAAGTCATATAAATAAACTCCCTAATTAATCAACTGCACATTCAGTTTTGCTTCTCCTTTGGTGTTAGCCTAACAACATTCTTAGAAGAAAGCATATTCAAACTGAACAAAACAGCATGCAATCTTATAAGCCAAGTTAAATCAGTAACTTAAACTGATATTAGCTGAAGTCTGACTCACAAGCATCTTATTAAACACCTTAATTAAAAAAAATAATTTTGTTAAGTTCCTTTTAAAAAGGGACATTTTTTCTATCCTACACAAATGAAAGACAACAATAAAGTTAGAAGTGAAAATCTTTAAAATTCTGCAAGTACCTTTACTGAATTGAGACGCTACATACCTTTTGATAGCCACAAGTTCTCCTGACTCGTTGCTCTTCCCCATCAACACACTGCCATAGGTGCCATCACCTAGTTGTTTCATAATTGTGTAACGGTTCATTTCTTTTAAGACTCGGACAGCCAAAAGCTTATGAAATTCTCAATGTCTTCTGCTTTATTAAAGGATTCTATGCTCTTTGATTTTCTTAAGAGAAATCTTCTTCCAGATTGCTTTATGTTGGTGAATGCTTCTCATAACGGAGCAGGATATTCACTGGTCTCCCCCAAACTACAGCTACTTTGAGATCCAGATATGAAGTATAAGAGACACAAGAACATGGTCATTCTCACATAGATCCTTAAAATAAAATAAAAAAAAAAAAGGGAACTACATAATTTTCCAAGATTTTAGAAAAGAGACACTACTATTTATATCAAACTACCCCTCCAGAACTGTATGTGTTCTTTAAATAGAATACTTGATTGTCACGAGTTCCTTTAAATCCTTCAAATCACAGAAAGTACCTACTGTATGATTAGGGTTAGAGTAAGCGGAGACTGAAGAGCTAAGATTACTGTCATTATTCCATAGAACAAGAGAAGTGTGTTTAAGGCTGGTGTATTCTGATGGAACTCCTTACTCTGAATTTGCAGACAGTAGCAGCTTCCTGATCTGTAACAAGGCACAGTTTAAGTTTTGGATAACATAGAAACCCAAATTTTGCACAGGGTGCCATGGTAAACCCAGGGTCTCAACATTATTTTGGATTGGTAGTGAAAGCAGGATTTCTATGCTTAAAAAGTTAGTGAGGGAGGTGAAGCAGCAAGATAACCACTTCATTCTTCACTAAGGTAAACTGAATTGTTATAAATGTACTTGGATATCTTGCTCTGAAGTTCCCATAATTCTTAGACATGGTAATTGCTGAAGAGTTAAGTTTATTCTTCAGTTTTACAAGGCCTGCAGAGAGAAGCATAGAGTTCACGTGCATTGGTGTAAAAGACTAAATCTGAGTTATCATTTGGAAAAGAATTCACACTGAGCAATGCTGAATGATCATCTTTGAATATATGTAAATCTTAATTTGAATCCTGATCCAAACTTGAATCTGAACCCCAGGTTTCATTGTACACAATACCATCACCAGTGTGTCAGATGAAGGCCAGCTGCCATAGGTCCTATGCACAAATCCTAAATTCCAGCCAAGCACTGGCTGCGCTTTGGACACAATCCTAAAAATTGACGTTAAAGCACTCAGGCAAACTCACTGTAGTCATCCACTTATTTATGCAAGTCTAGGAAAAACTAACAACCTATCACTGTACCATTTACTCACCATAACCCAAATGCCAACACACAAACAAACCACTGAATGCTGAGTAATAGCATTGTCTCTACCTTTTGCCTCTGCTGTCTGAAAACACAAAATATAGCTCAAGTCAATGAAACACACAGTCAGACTACCTTTATAGGACATGCAGAATTCAGCATGCAACTCTGTACTCCTTAGCCTTATGCCAGAATTAGCTACAGGTTGTCCTGTCCAAACAGATTAAGGAACTCAAATTCAGCTGATAACAAGCCTCAGGCTTGAGATTTACAGGCCTGGCAAAATTTAACATTAAAATTGGCCTCTCGGGACTGTGAACAATGCATTCTCAAGTCGACTAGCCTGCTGTGTAAACATCTGCCTAAACAGTAGACCAATGTTTCTAAGCTATTGTTAGTTGAAATGCTGCTTCCTCAGAGCAGTTGTAACACACAGTGTTACTCTTATTGCTTCTGTTGCCAGGAAGGAATCTCACATCAGCTGTCAAGATGCCAGTACCAAGTGACTTAGTGGACGTCTCAGTCTATAATCTTTGCACCAGACAACCACCACTTTGGCATTGAAAAATACAAAGATGTTTTTACACATCCCCTCCAAAGCCATCGCTATAGTAAAATATGATTTCTGGTTAATAGCATATTCTGAAACAAAGCTAAAAAGCAGATTTAACAAAAAGTAACAGTCATAGACATCTCAAATTGTAACTAGATTTTAAATTGGACTTTCATATATTTAAGCCTATTGCTTTTTTCTTAGAGTTCAGCTTTATATCTCGTTCCCCAAAATGCCTGCACACACTGAAGTCTTTAATATTTTCAATATTACCATTTCTTCAACGAGACTATTTTTTTACTCCAGTAATAAGCAGATGATCAAGTGTTTACTCCAAGTTAAGATACATTCTGCACGTCCATCTTGCAAGTTGTCAAATTTTGGTTTTATGTATATATTAAAAAACCAGATCAACATAAAAACATTCTGAAGGTATTCTTATACCCATTTTAAAACACAGCATCACATGTAAAGCATCATCAATGATAAACTGTGTATTCATTTTGTTTATAGGTATACATAGGCATATAAGGTGAAGTAAACTTAAATGTAACAAATTTTGGGTGCCTGTGTTTCTCCATTTCAACAAATATCATTGTACATTGCTTAAGGCATGTTTTTTGGAGGGGATTTAGCAATATCTGCCAAAGATGGCCCTAGCTTGAACTCCTGAAGTTACATTAAAAATCTGGAGAATTTGCACACATTTCATTTTCAATCTTTTGCTCTCTAACAAAGCAAACCAAAAAAACCAAGATGAAAACCTCTGTATATGCAATAAACAGACCCAAATCTAGACACAAATCTCAAGTTTTAACCTTTAAGTCCTCTAATTTTGGTGCCTAAACCCTACCAGCTTTCCAAGTAATTTTCTTTGGAGTATATATTAATCACATGCTCTTACAATTATTCCTTTTGTCCAATTCTAATATTTTGGCATGTGCCCTTGAAACAACATCATATAAAGTAGTTCTTCCCTCCAGAAGTTCTGTGTAATTTCCCCTCCAGAAGTTCTGTATTGGGTGTGTGATTGTGCATTTAGTCCGTTCTGTAATATATTTTATTTCCTTATTCCTTTTCTTCTCTTTATTGTAATTTTTAGGGCACAAAAGCACTTAATCAAGTAAAGTATAGAAAAGTCAACACATTCCTTCGATAATCAAATGGAAGTGTCAAATCTACTCTATGTATATGCACAAAACAAGGTGTGAAAACTATGTACCCTGGTAACAATGTCTATGTACTGCACACCTACCACCACAATGATGCACACTAGGCCATTCCACTATTGACTCTCATTAAAGAGTTGTCTTGGCACTTACAGTTTACAAAAGAAGGGCAAACAATGGAACTCTTACAGTGAGACATCATCAAATGAAAACTAGCCAAATGCAGTGGGAAAAAATGGACTGCAGCTATCACACTCGACTATAAGCCCTTTTCCAGCTTTTAAGAGAATACATTCATCATACACATGTATCTAAAAAAACCTGATAGGGTTCTTTGGACGCCAAGCGGTCAAATTTAGAGCAGTGTTATGGCACACCATAGTCTGTAGGAAATGCTGGAGGGTGACAGAGGTTTGCTGACCAAAAAAAGGCAGCACTGATTCCTGCAAAACTTACTGCCACTGCAAACAAACGAGAACAAACGAGGCTGCCAAGCACTTGCATTTTTCAGCCTGATCTGACATCAGGGTCAGAGGCTTCTTTCACTTTTACTGGAGTTACAGAGTACAATGAGTTAGAATCTAAATGCTCTAGAGATTCACATTTCACTACAGACTTCTGCATACTGTGCACTTTAAACCACATGTACCCAGCTCAGGTGAGAATTTTTTTTCTCAGTGGTCTCTCTATATTGTCTTTTTCAAATGTGCAGTTCAGTTTTCTCTTTCTTACCAACCTGAGGGAAAGCAAGGGCTCAATCTAGCTTTTCTGGTTAGCACAAGCCTCTGAAGTGGCCTTTCCCATTCTAATGCTTATATACTATTATTTCCCCAGCAATATGAAGCTCTAAAATGTAAAATTATCAAAATAGTCAGCTACCAAACTGGAAAGAGAAATCCTACTCTAAACAACAGCTTGTTTTATACTCTTAATGACACACTGTGCATAATCTCTTCACATAGGATTAAGGAAAGATTAAAGCAAGGGACAAATAGAGGACAAAATACAATAGCTTGACAGAATCTACAATTTATGTAAATTTAGAGGATCTGAACAAATACTAAGTAATTTAAGCAGAATTTCACTTTTACTATATTAATGGTGCTTTAAGCACTAGCAACAATTTGAAATTGTTTTAGTTGCCTGAATTACATTTCAAAATGCAATGAATAACAGCAATTCACCTGCATTTCTTCTGTACAAGCACTACACGTTACCAACCATTTCATAGTTGCATGCTAAACAGGCTACTCTCAAATAAACAGAAACTAGGATATATGACCCAACAAAGACCTCCCACACAGATAAGCAGAACACCCACTACTCAATCTCACCAACCTGTTTACAGTAATCCTGAAATCGCCAAAAGTGCTCGCAGAGGATGGTACTATTCTCAATGATCAAAACTGGCAGTACTGCACAGTACAGAATGTATGCTGATACAAATTTTAAAAGTAAAAAAAAAAAACAAACCAACCCAAACTCAACCATTAAACAACAAACAATTTGGTGCTACAAGAGCCTTCTTGGTAGTGACTGTGTATTACTAAAGCTGACAGTAATCAGATCCCATGACAGGTGGATCCAGTTCTGGAGATTACCGCAAATCCATTACTCTAATCAAAGACCAGCAGTTATTTAAAAGCCTGACTCCCAGCTGCAAGAAAGAAGTCAATAGCATTGACAGTAAATATTTGTACTTTTAAATAGACTGTCTTAAATAAATTTTTTTTAAAGTCTCTTCAAAAGTCTAGTATATTGTTTCATTTGTTTGAAACAATGATGGGGCACATAAAAAAGGAAGAATTCGAGTTTGCTCTGAGTATTTTCCCTTGTTTTCTTCCAAACCAGCTTTGGTTTCAAACCAAAATGATTCACAACAACTTTCTCAGGATGTTTCATCCATGACAGCAAGGCTACCTTTTCCCACCCTCATGAAACCTCTTCCTGCGATGCAGTGAGTAGTACAGCAAGTTTCAGGACAGCAATGGTTTCAGTGCTGCTGGACCTTGAAGTCTCCAGCCTTGCACAGTGTCCAGAAGGAACATGAACTATTCATCTTTCAGCATCTCCACACCACTGTAAGTTTCAATAAATCACAGATTCACACAATTGTTAAGGTTGGAAGGGACCTCTGAAGATCATCTAGTCCAACCACCATTACACAGGAGTACATCCAGGTGGGTTTGGAATATCTCCAGAGAGGGAGCCTCCACGACTTCCACTGGCAGCCTGTTCCAGTCCTCTGCCACCCTCAACATAAAGAAGTTCTTCCTCTTGTTGAGGTGAAACTTTCTGTGCTTTAGCTTATGGCCACTGCTCCTCATCCTGTCACTGAGCACCACCAAAAAGTCTGTCACCATCCTCTCGGCACCTGCCTTTGATATATTTCTATGCATTAATGAGATCCCCCTCTCAGTCCTGAGAATGGAAACAAACGCTTCTTTCCACTTTAGTTTCACCTGATGACGTTCAGTCACTTCTCAAGAGAGCACCTTCCTTAGCACACACTCACAGCAGAAAGGGGAGCTCAGCACTCACGCAGGCTATGCAACTCAGCACCACCCGGCCTGCAAGCTTCACCCCGGTTCTCCCAAAAATGAAAATTCACCTTCTTTCGTTAACCCCGGGCATTTCAGTCCATCAAGGCCCGGACCTGATCTACTGAAGTCAAAGCAGGCAGGATCCCTCTCTCTGCAGGCTCCACGCCCAAAGCAGCGCCGTCTCTCCCAACCCCAGCACCACAGCAGGACAGCTCCCTATACACGCGAGTGAAGCCCACCAGCGAGCCGGCCCACCCCAAACCAGCCCGGGGGCAGGGAGCAGCCGTCCTGTCCAGGGATAGATACCAGCCCCCGGGGCTGTTCCCGCTCCATCCTAAACCAGCACCTCCTTCATCCTGGGAAGGACCCCGGGTGACGAGGAGACCCACCTCTCTCCACCCTTCCCGTCGCCCCCCGACGCGCAGCCGCCCACTCACCGGCCGGCGCTGCGCGGCGGTGCCCACCGGCGGTCCCCGGCGAGCCCCCCGCTCCGCCCGCCGCCTCTCCCGGCCGGGCCGCTCTGCCCCGTCGCCGCGGGCGACGCGGCGGGATACCGGTGGTGACCCAAGCCGCCGGCAACGCCCCGCTCTCGCCGCGCGCCGTCACGGGCGCGGCAGGCGAGGCCCGCCGGTGCAGTCATCCAGCCGGAATGCCGTGGGAGGCGCGGCGTGCAACCCCTGCCATGGGAAAAGCGGGGACGGGCCGCGACGCTGCGGGAAAGCGAGTGGTGCACGACGCGGTGTGCGCATGGCGACGAGAGCCACGTCACGGGCTCCCTGGAGGCGGCACCGCGGTACGCGGGGTCGTTTTCAGGCTGTCTTTACTATCATTACTGGTAATGGTAATGGTAATTATGTATTAAATATATAATTGGTGCTCTGGTGAGACCCCACCTAGAGTACTGCATCCAACTCTGGCGTCTCCAGCACAGGAAGGACATCGACCTGTTGGACCAAGTCCAGAGGAGGGCCACCAAGATGATTAGAGGGATGGAGCACGTCTCCTATGAGGAAAGCCTAAAAGAACTGGGATTGTTCAACCTGGAAGAGAGAAGGCTTTGGGGTGACCTGAAGGGAGCCTGCAAGAAAGATGGAGAGAGACTATGTACAAGAGCATGTAGTGGCAGGACAAGGAGGAATGGGTTCAAACTGAAAGTAGGTTTAGATTAGATATTGGGAAAAAAATCTTTACTATGAGGGTTGTAAGACAATGAAATAGGTGACCCAGGGAAGCTGTGGATGCCCCATCCCTGGAGGTGTTCAAGGCCAGGTTGGGTGGGGTTCTTGAGCAACCTGATCTAGTGGACGGTGTCCCTGTCCATGGCATGGGGGTTGATCATCTTTAAGATGATCTTAAAGATCCCTTTCCAACCCAAACCATTTTGTGATTCTATGAAATAAAGCTGCCAGCTGAGCTGCTGCGTAGTTAGCATTTGTACATAAATTCCCACCTCTGGTATTCACAGCTGTAATGAAACCTGAGGGATTTTTTTTTTCCTCTAGCATTTATTCTATTATTACTATTATTATTTATAGTAAGCAATTTATTAAAATGCACATTGTTAATACTGATACAGGGGAGAAACTTTGAATGCTATATGTATTCTAAAACATAAGAGTACTTTTGGCAGGGAAGTCTTGTTTTAAGCTTCAATTCTTAACATTAGCTTGAACTTCCTATTTTTTAATGTTTTTGAGAGCGAGGGGCAAGAAAAGGAGGAAATTATTTTGACACAGTAACTACTAGTAGCACCATAGAGGGAAAGGCAGAAAATTGTTTTAGCAATTCAGATTCCTATCTGCTTCACCAAGCTGAGCAAAAATGGGAAGCTGTCTTCATTATACTTTTGTTTTTATTATATTTTTGTTTTGCCCTCTCCCTCATTAACTGGTGTGGTAACTTTGTGATGGTTTAAGAACTGTTGACAGATTAATTGATTCTACCTCAAGTCAACTGGGTGGAACGTGGGGCTACGGGAATCAGTTTTCTGGAATCCAGAGGATTTGACCACTTGCACATAGGTTGCTGAAATGAAAGTACAAGAAAACAACATTATATTTTCTGAAACAAAATATGCCTGTTTCCTTTACTGAAATAAAACATCAGAGGTGACTGCCAGGTAAGATGAAGTTCAAAGGTGAGACTTGGACATGAGAAAGAAGGTCCCATAACCCACAGGTTATCTCAGGCAGAGATTCAACAGGAGATGATTGTACGTAGCAAAGCATTTAACCATGCAGTAACCAGTAAAAATGTGTTTGAACACTATTACATGTATACATTACATGTGTGGAAATACCTCTCCACTGCCAGTGGAAATGATACAACAGCAGTGTCCCCTCCCTACCCTTGTGTCCTTTCCTCACTCTACAGTTTAGCAATGTTCCATGACTATTGTTCTTCCTCCTCTGGTGTTGCCACCCAGTTTCATAGAATCGTGGAATGAATTGGGTTGGAAGGGATCTTAAAGATCATCTAGTTCCAACCTTGTTGTCCTGGGCGGGGGTACCTTTCACAAGACCAAGCTGCTCAGAGCCCCATCCAACCTGGCTTTGAACACTTCCAGGGATGGGGCATCCACAGCTTCTCTGGGCAACCTGTTTCAGTGCCTCACCATGCTCACAGTGAAGAATTTCTTCCTAATATTTAATCTAAACCCATCCTCTTTCATCTCAAAGCCATTCTCCCCTTGTCCTCTCACTACATGCCCTTACAGAAAGTCCCTCTCCAGCTCTCTTGCAGGCCCCCTTTAGGTACTGCAAGGTGCTATAAGGTCCCTCCAGAGCCTTTTCTTCTCCCGGCTGTCCAACTCTCTCAGCCTGTCTTCTTAAGAGAGATGCTCCAGCTCTCTGATATCTCTGCGGCCCCGCTGTGGACTTGCTCCAACAGATCCATGGCTTTCTTTTGTCCCCAGAGCTGAACGCAGCACTGCAGATAGGGTCTACAAGAGCACAGTAGAGGGGCAGAATCACCTCTCTTGACCTGCTGGCCATGCTGCTTTTGGTGCAGCCCAGGATACAATTGGCTTTCTGGGCTGCAAGCTCACATTGATGGGTCATGCTGAGCTTCTCACCAACCTACACCCCTCAGTCTTTCTCCTCAGGGCTGCCCTCCATCTGTTTTTCCCCAGCCTGTGTTTGTCCTTGGGATTGCCCCAAACCAGGTGCAGGACCTTGCACTTCACAGAATCACAGAATATTCTGAGTTGGAAGGGACCCACAAGGATCATCAAGTCCAGCTCTTAAATGAATGTCCTGTACAGGGATCGAACCCACAAGCTTGGTGTTATTGGCACCATGTTTTAACCAGCTGACTTGGCCTTGTTGAACTTCATGAGGCTCACACTGGCCCACCTCTCAAGCCTGTCCAGGTCCCTCTGGATGGCATCCCTTCCCTCCAGCGTGTCGACTTCACTGCACAGCTCGGTGTTGTTGGCAAACTTGCTGAGGATGCACTTGATCCCACTGTCCAAGTCACTGACGAAAATGACAATGCTTTTTGTTGCTTGTTCAGCATTTCTAGTCTTACAGCCACTTATATAAGAGACCTCACACAAGCAAGGAGTCTGATGTTTAAATAATTTCTGAATTAGTTTTGCACAAGTGAAACACTTAAGTTTAAATTCTGTTACCGAGACCTTGTGTCTCTCAGTTGTTAGTACTTTTTGTAATGCTTCCCAACATTTCACACACAGGAAGAGAGAACAGCTGTAGACAGAACTTGCCAGTGTTTAACCTAGACTGACACATGGTGTGGAGTTGCAGGACAAGCACTGCAAGCCAGTCACTTAACACTTCATTTTGTCATGAAGACAGGAGAGAGGTGCTGTTCTGTGCTCTTGCTATGAACCAGGAAACTGAAGGAAAGACAACAGGCTGGAACAAAGAGACCCAGGAACCACAGCGATATTTGTGAGCCCTGCTAAAGGACCTCTGAGAACATCCTCATGCACCTGCTTCCCTGCTTGTTTTACAAAACAAGAGAAGCAGACTCACTGCTAATTTTCTGTTGAAAGAACCTTCTTTGGTTGTGGTCCTTAAAAGTGTTGATGCTTGGCTCAAATGCCAGCCAAAATAGCTGAAACTGGCTTTTCCCAGACACCATCACAAGTGCCAGCACGCATGTTGAAGCTGATAGGGATTGTGTAAACTTTATTTTTCTGCTTGTTTGAATGAGTTTGAGCCAAATGAGTGATGTTTCTCTGTGATACTTACTCGCACCTGTATCACCCCGCTGATCTTTGTGTTGCATGTGGACTCTTGTGAGTCTATGAAGGTGCCGTGTTGAAATGCACTCTCCATTTTGCACAATCTCAGCTATAGCACTACGTAAACACTGCCTGGTTCACTCTCCCTTTGCTTGTGAGCAACAGGAAGATACTCAGTTTATACAACTAGAACACTGAAGGCAGTAATCCAGCCATTGATAACCACCGTACACCAGTTTCATTATTTCTAAGGCAGAGGGATTTTAACAGGCCTGGACTAACTTTTCACTCTGTGTGTTGGGAGGAACTAATCCAACACTAAATGTCTCAGTTCTCCCCTTTTTATCTGCATGTGACTTTTACTGATAAGGGTGGGAATGACATGAACTTTCCTAAAAGCATCCCTAGAGCTGCATTGGGCATCCTGCTGAATGTCTCTCAGGAAACATGATCTACTTTTGTGAAAGCTGTCTCAGTTGTATTAGATAGCTTCCCCAAAAAAGGCGTGAAGAAAAAAACCTAGAAATCCAGAACAAACCCCAGAAAATCCCCAGGAAGAAAAAAGTCTCAAATCATATTCTGCAATGTTACATTGGTGGTTTCCACCCCTGAAACTCAGAGGAAAGCTTGTCTCTGTCTTTAAAGATGATAGTTTGTACCCCAAAACAAGGAGATGAACTGCTTCAAGTACAATAAGCCCAAAACACCCAATTTCCTTCATGTGTTGTTTGTAGCATGTAGCATGTTTAAAAAGCCCAGAGTTAACTTGCTTTCAGAAGAGGAGCAAGGGCTAAGCAAATTGCTCAGACTCACACCAGAGGTCTTTAACATGACTGGATGGAGACCAGGACAGTGTGCCAGGCTCTGTCCTCCCACCAGGAGGAGATGGGACCATGAAAAGATGCCCACACGTATTTGCATCTGTCAGACGTGTGACACATGCCTGTATTTGGTGGGTACACGGTTATTATCATGCAGTTTCTTGTCTCTAGGAGGCACCCATTCAGCACTTGTGCCTTTAAACTTTGTCATTAAGAGGCTGCTGTTTTGGTACAAAGGGCAGCCTCAGCGTATGGGGACAGATGGTACTTTACCTCAGTAGGGCCCTTGTAACTTATATGAAGCTGGAGCCAGAGGAGGCTGAGATTTGAAAACACCTTTCTCCCCGCTCCCTCTGTGACTTCACCATACCAACAGGAATTTGTTAGATGAAGACGTCTGCCGCAGTA